GAAAATAATGTGACGCAGAGGAGCAGTCGGGAGGTGATATTCGGAAAGAAGTTGGTTTCTTTGTAAATCGAAATGAATTTATGGGTGTCGCGCCAGTGATCCTGTTATTGATGTTCGCGGCGAGGAGGCGGGGAGGCGGAGGAGCGCGAGGGGCGAGGGGCCGAGCGGAGGGGCGCTTGGCGTCGCGTCGTAATCGGATCTATTCTGGGGTCAAATATATCGATGTGGATGTCTTTATTATTGGTGCAGAGGGGAGTGGGGACGTAAGGAGCAGACGTGGTGTTGTGAGGAGAGATAGAGAGCGAGAGTTTCCTCTCACCTGCCCAGCGCATGTCTCACTCTGCTGCTGCTTTAGTTGACTAATAGTTTCGGTCCGTCGCGGCATACGGCGAGTACGATCTCTCCGCATTGACATCTTTCTCACTCGCTCGGCGGACTGTCCTGCTCTTCGGCCGCGCGGTCTCTCGCACCGTCAGCTTAGTAGTGAGTGGGTTAGTTTGACAGATTCGCCCCTTGCAGCCCCCACCCAACCCTTTCCGACGCCCCGCCCGCCTTGCTCACTCTCAATAACGAATTGGGCCACCTCTAACCTCATCTAGGGGGACAGGAAACGTGCTTAGGCGGCTATCGAGTCGAGACTCTCCAGAGTTGCGCTTCTTGGAAACAGAGCCACGACTAGGACCAAGGCCTCTCCGGGTACGGGTCGCTTGTTCAAAAAGAGATTCGCCTCGCTAAAAAAAAGGAAGAAATACTGCAGCTGAATTGCAGGCAGTGAAAGAGCAGGCCGCCAGGACCCCGGCCGCCGTCGGCTGGAAGTTTATGTCCGCCTACAAGTTTCTAATTATTTGTGAGGGACGCGCACGGCGCCGGCGCCGGCGTGACGCTGTTGGCTAGTTTGAGGTGCCGGAGACGGATCAGCGAACCGATTCAACACGCTGCGCTGCAACTTTTAACAAGAGGGGTGCCGCGATAATTGGGCTCTCGTTAGCCTACCTGTGTTGCCGGCCGCTGCGTAGGCGTGTCGGGAGAGAGAGAGAGAGGGACGCGCAGACAGAAGAGGGATGCTGGATATCTGGAGCCAGGCCAGGTCTTTGAGCAACAAGTGCATCGCATGCATTGTGTCGTGTAATGGCAATGAATGCAAATGCAGTGCGCGGCGCCTTGCCGAGAGGCGCGCTGTGGAGGCGCCTGGCGCCCGGAGCTTCAAAGTAGAGGAGTGTGTCCGAATTCTCCAAAGGAACGTTCCCTTTAGCACCCTTTAGGTCCGAATGACGACGGAGAGGGGGCCGGCAGCAGGGCGGGCAACTCGCGACCATCCCTCGCGAAAGGACGTCGGTTGTTCGCGGTCCTTCGCGGGGCGTCGCGAACCGCGAAAGGCGCACGTCGTCGCAGGAGGTCGGTCGCGGTTCGCGACTACCCCCGCGAAGGACCGCGAACAACCGACGTCCTTTCGCGAGGGATGGTCGCGGGTTGCCCGCCCTGCTGCCGGCCCCCTCTCCGTCGTCATTCGGACCTAAAGGGTGCTAAAGGGAACGTTCCTTTGGAGAATTCGGACACACTC